TGCTGAGATGGGGAAGGGAGGTGGCGTGGAGAACTCCTCCACCAGATCCTGCTCTTCTCCATGCAGCCGCAGAGAGGTTCAGCTCTGCGCACCGCCAAGTGCTGAGACCAGGTGGGGGCAGAGACAACGGGGGGATGCCACAGCTACAGTAGAGGTGAAAAGGCCTGGTGAGCCTTGTGTTTGACACGTGTGACCTACACTATTCAGTACAGAATGGGGACGAGTCTCCCGCTGTGCCCATTGTATTCTCACAGCCCCCGAAGGACTATTTGCTGCCTCAGCTGTTTGGCCACACATTTTCCATCCAGCTTCTAGCATGTCAGGCAGGATAGGGCCAATAGGGCCATCCACATAGTGAATGTTGTCCACTTCACGAGGAACCGGAGAAAATTTGCATAGTTTATGGCCAGCTTTGTATCTGTTAAAGCGGACCTATCCTGAAGTGTTAACTGAAGGATAAGACATTGAAAGCCTTCCTAGTTTTGATAAATGGCGTACTAGAAGGACTGGCATACTTTTCTTCCCTAGGATAAAATGCTGCTCAAAGCTGGCCATGACCAAGAGGCTGGGCATTTGCTCACGTGATCTTCGCAGGCAGCATAGTGGCTAAGTGGTTACCACTTCTGCCTGACAGCACTAGGGTCGTCGGTTCAAATCCCAGCCTCGGCACTACCTTGCCTGGAGTTTGCATATTCTCCCTGTGCCTGCATGAGTTTCCTCCGGATTCTCCAGTTTCCTCCCACATTCCACATGATATTCCTAGATTGTAAGCTCCAAGGATCAGGGCCCTCCTATCCCTCTTGTATTGAACTGTATTGTTGCTGTATTGTCTCCCGTTATATTGTACAGCGCTGAGCAAACTGTTGGCGCTATATAAATCCTGTATAATAATAATAAATAATATTAAGTTGTCTCCTTTCTAAAATTGACCCTAGTATGAATGTAAGTTAGGGACCTTAGATTGTAAGCTCCTGGAGGGTTAGGGACTGATGTGAATGTAATATACATAGAGCTGCGTAAAATGATGGCGCTATACAAGTACCTGTAGCAAATAAAGAGGAGAATTGTCCAGTCTGAGCTCTGTTCTCCCCTTCAAAAGGGGGATTCATATCATTCAGTATGTTTCATGCCACAGGAAATGGTAAGAGGCTGGTGGGGCTGGAGTCTGTAGACATACTAGGGGTGTGAATAATAAACAACAAACTCCTGTGCTACCAAAATGCAAAATACTATAACTCAACTTAGGTGCTGCTACCGCTGTAATGTGTTCCCACATCAAAACCATCATTTTAACCATAAATGTGTTACACTGCTGACAGTACACCAATCCTCTGATAAAGTCACGTGACAAGTCTGATAGCCATGTGACAAGTGACGTAAGGTGTATGGCAGAGCTAGGTGACGTCACCACGTTTTACCAGAAGTAGCATGTTTCTTGTGTTTCCGAAGTCATTTGTACATGTGACTTTGATTCTTGTATTATGTGAATGGTTCTTAATTTAATAAATGCCTGATTTACTGTATTTCAATACTACACTATGGAAAGATTTATTTGATTTTGAGCAACATAGTGACATGGTGAGAAGAGAGCACTCTTGAAGCTTTTGTTATTACAGTCGTGACCCATGGAAGTATTTACAAATATTTTTGTACAATTTTGTGGGACTTTATTAATGCAGGATTATTTAGTATGGTATTTTTATTTTTTATGAGCTTAGAAAAATGTATTGGTGATGTATTTGCACACATTAGTTGTTTACTCACTCTGTGTGTGTATTTTCACTGTTTCCTAAAGTGGCAAGAATATTTATTATTATGGCATATTCTATATTATTATTGATTTATTTATTTGTGTACTGTCAGCAGCGCATCACATCTATGGTTAAATTATACTACAGGTGTGGTTAGAAACTAGGGACATGCTATAGGAAATGGTCCGAGACTGGAGACATGTTACATGAGGTCACTATGCTTTCAGAATCCCATTTACAAACCAGTGTTCTTCCACAAACTGTTGCTCCCAGATCCAAACAGGGTTTCACAGGGCCCTCAGCCTACAAATCTGGCAATAGGATACTGTCTAGCCAGCCATCCATCCATCTATCTCAGGACTGGACAAATTCCAAGAGCCAGTTGGCCAATGCTCCTTAAGGCCTCCTTCACAAGGGTAATGACAGTCATACACCAGATACCAGTGGTAAGAATCACCACATTAGGGCAGCTAGGGTAACCGTTGTCTGCCAACAGTAGTGGCGGCTCAGCCTGTATGAAGTAATGACCGGCTGAGAGGAGCCATCACTGCTTTAATGTATCTGCACAGCCAATGGTTACCTGCAGATAAGAAAGGATGACGACCCTGGACACAGAGAGATGTGTCCACGCTCAGACATTCATCCCTAACCAAAGGTAACCAAAGGGTGTGTGGATACGTGAGAACAGTGACCGTTCCCCTCAGCCTGTCATTACTTCATACAAGCTGAGCCACTACCGCTGTCCTCAC